TATGATAATTAAATATCAGCTCTCTCTTGGGCTTAACTAAGTCTGAAATAATTTTATGCATTATCCTATGCCAAACACCCTATTAAATATGTGCTAGCTGATTTTCCTCAACAGACTTCTTTTGGTGAAAATAGAAATCTTTCAAATACTGAAGTGTGTCACTTGCTTCCATTAAAGATCTTATGATAGGCACTTGCTTATATTACCCAATCAAGTATAAGTTAAGATATGATCATTGTTTTGCACAACATGGTAAATTTCTTCTATTTTGAGTGACAGCTAACAAAAAAGACCGACGCCTATGTTGGTTCTTAGGACGACTGAGTGATTTTTTTTTCCCAACAAGTGATCATGTGCAAAAAACAAAAAGCATGTAATATATGTTTCAATATCCCATGTAATAAATCTCATTAAGCCTGTGTTGGAAGCCACTAGTTTTGAGAAGTTAGAGAATTTGTGTATCTTTCTCACTGTCTATTTCCACTTAGTGTAGTCCATTTTCCTTTTGTTCCTTTCCATTCAGAAATATGAACATTTATAAAATTGTTAATGTCTAACAAGAATGAGTCAATAGCTGTCTATTTCAGGTGCCCCCAAGGAGCTGAATATTTGTGGAATAAATAGCCTGTGACCACACACCCCCACCTCCTAGTGAGATTATATAATAAAAGGAATGCTGAAAGCTAGCTAAAGTTAGGAGATTTACTGGCAATATTTTCCTCTCAACTGATGAAATTGGTGATTTTGTTTTTAGAGGATCATTGTTGATTATTTACATCATTACTATTTCCATGTAATATTCTGGGAGGATTATTTTTCCCTAAGGAGAGAAAGGGCCAGTAAAATGCCTCCCACAAAGTTAATTCAAGGTGGAAGGGAATTAGCTACAGAATCCTGCGGGGGTGGGGGGGGTGGAGAATGTGTTTCGTGCATGCAAAGCTATTTTATAGCCCATTTTAGCCCTGATCAATAATATCTATCAACATGAGGGCCATGACATAATTTTCTGAGATTTTTCATTGCCTCTGCAAATTCATACACCAGAAGTCTAGCAAATACTCATGGCATATTAATGGGATTTTTTTTCAAATCAAGACATCTTAATGTTTCAGTTTACAGGTAAATATGATAGATTGATAACACTTTGCCCCCAATGTTGACAAAGTAAAGAACCAGACTTGGGGATGCCCAGACCTCTTCTGAGGTTACCCTTATTTAGTTGAAATTGGTAGGAGGTAAATTCCAAAGCCATATTACTTGGCAATTGGTTCAGTTATTGACCAGAAGGAATACATTCAGTAGATGAAGTTATTGACTGTCCTTCTCATAATCAGTTTGCTGAGCTATTTGCTGGGATGACCTAGCTTTCAAGAAGCTATTGGTATTTTTAACCTGGTTAAAACCATAACCATATAGCAATCTGTATCATAAATGTTTCAGCATAAGTAATATTTAGTCTGTGTATCATTAGTTTGTCTTTGAAAACTTCATAATTATACTTTAGTTGAAAATTTCTGATTCTTTTCTTTTTACTAAAACCTCTTTTCAATCGTGTGTTGTGGAACTTCATAGCTTTAATTGCGTACTGACTTGAAGCAGAGAGGATTTTATTCAAAGGGTGCGAGACACCCTTTAAAGAAGGGTGGACACCCTGAAGTTTGGATACCCTGAAATGAAGTATTCTTAGCAGATGATGCTAGAAACAGGAAAAAAAAAAGGGGATGAAATAAAATAATTATGTTAAGGGAGAGCTTAGTGATCCTCCCACACTGACCTGCTGTGGTCAATATCTTTTCCTGTGTCCATAAAACTCATTAAATGGAAATTCTGTACACTAACTGAGCCATGCCGTATTAGTGCTTGCCAAAGCTTGACATTTTTAATACATTAATAATATGTCTGTAATGGAATGGAAAACTATTAATCACAACTGGTTCTGTGCCAGAAATTTAAGCTATAATTGGCTGCTTCTTGTCAAAGATGTCTCTCGCGCAGTCCTGCAACTAACCGCCTAGTATTCAAATGTCTTACACTCCTCTGAGTTTTCCCTGTCAGTTGTCTAAATGTGATCCATATTGTAGTCCATAATTCTGTGTAATGACCGTCATCAGAATTGTGGTATACATTAGTGACAATTCGTTCCACAGGGATTGTCCTTGTGTCAAGAAACAGTACAGGGCACACACACATTTCTCAAGTCAAGAAACAGTACAGGGGTCACACACATTTCTCGAGTGTCCGTATTCTTCATATAACAGAAGTAGGCTCACTCTGCATTTTGAAGTCTCTGTAAAAGGGAATTCCATGAGAACAGCGCAACCAAGAATAAGTGGATTTGGGGACTAATAATGGTTTAAATGAAAATATGAGTAATCTTAAGGATCATTTAAACATATGCCAAAAATTGTATTAAAAATAATATTACATATTCACACACTGCTCAGCCTAAACTCAAAGCAGTTGACTACAAGTCCTCAAAATAATACTGACCTTAATAAGCACACTTGATTAGGTGATTGGAGGTAAGAATTGAAGCTAATAATCCCAATTTAGTGAGTATATTTTACTTATAGTTCCCCCTCCCTTCACAATCCAGTGTTCCTTCCCTTTTACAATAATGTAGTAAACCTAGTTTTAAACATGCATTTAAAAATGTACATTTATGCCATCTTAACACCTTTTTAGATTACTAATTGTCAATGTGTTGGATGTTTCTGAAAATATCAGCTTAAAATTACTAATGGGTTTCAATTTTGAAAAGAGCAGAAGGCTGTAGTAGCCTTAACACATGCTTGTCTATGATGTTTTTATTTGCTTTTTTTTGGAGCTTAAGATTGCAAAATGTGCTCACCACAGTATAGTCTTGAAGTTACAAGAAAGAAGCAGATTTAGATCTGTAGCTTATATATGTTTAGACACACTGCTAATTATTGCTTCATAGGAACTCAAATATTCACCACTTTTCCTAATAGAAAGTATCACAAATTGCAGCTGTATGATAACATTTTATGAATTGAATATAATGGAAATTGCACTTGCATCCATAAAGCAATTATTATAAATTACTTTGCTATGGAAACAAAATTCAACCATCTGTTGGCATTTCATAGTCTCCGTGGCTGAGTTCATTTTAAGATGGTGCATTACTTAAATATAGTGAATTCCCTTTAGAAGATTGTTTGAAGATAGTGAACTTCCTTATGGAAACTAGTTAATATGAATTGAAGGGTCTGTAATGGAATTTTCCAAAGCTCTCTGTGTGGGGTGTGGTTTGTGTGTGTGTGTGTGTGTGTGTGTGTGTGTGTGTGTGTATGTGTGTGTGCATGTTAGTGCATGCGTGTTCTTTTGAAATCCTTTAAAATGGATTTAATAAAAAATAGGATGGATTAATAGATTGAACTAGGAATATGAACTATGAAATTAAGAAAATCCACTTTGTTGGCACTAGAATTTCAAATGTTAGCATTTGTTTAGTTCTCAATAGTGTTCTTTAAAAAGAGAAGCTGCCAGTGAAATTCACCAATGACCTGTATGTGTAGGTTCAGAGACTACATTATGGTTTACCAAAAGTACTTTTAAATGGTAATTTTTTTATTTTCTCGTAGAATTAGTGCCATGTTATTCTGCTTCATGGCCTGTTAACTCACCCTCAGCTACTTTTATATGTGCATTTTAAATTGTGCGTTTTACTACCAAGCTTTTACTTTTAAAGCGATGTATAATATTCACCTTTGGGACAAATTCTCTCCTGTTAGAACGTAACTACCAATGCAGATGTAATGACTATAAAAAGATATAAGAAAACAAAATTCCTAGGAAAGCAACATTTGCACTTTTGGTTTGATTTCTGAATTTTTTTTGTTTGTTTCAGAGAGACAAGTTATCTGTATCAGTAAATGCAACTGAACAAAAGATGTGAAAATTCTTGCAATATAATGAAGCAATCTCAAGAGATAAGCACACCAGCCATGGTAGTTTTCATTCCAGACAACAAAAGCTGAGACATGTATAAGAAATTAGGAGATTTTTTTAGGGTCTCTTTGCCAAGTGGGAAAAAAGGCATGCAAGTAGTTGTCATTTCTTTGTCATTTGTTACAAAAGCACTCACTTGGTCCCATTGTTCTCTTGGAAGACTGTCTAGCCTTGCAGTATATGAGAAGTGTTTGAATCCAACAGCTTGCTCTCCATTTAGTTAAGATGGAAATATGAGTTTTGAAGCAAAACCTTGTTATTCACCTGGAACCCATACATCTGTCTTTGTTGTGGAAGAGTTAAATCCTGCATATCAAAATTCTCCCCCACATGAATCATTCACCTGCTTTGCTCATCCTAGCAAAACAGCAAAGTAAAGGTTATTCATATGACACCAATTTGCTTGCTATTGCCTCAAACCTCCCAAATGTCAACATATCAGAGATTTCATAAAGCATTGATTGATTCTCAGACAGTAACTCTTACTCTTATTGTTTCTCAAAGGGTGTGGGTGCCGGAAGACAAGAATGATTGATGGGAAACAGACACTGGACGGGGGACAAGCATCCTTCTGCTTCGGATGCTGACATCTCAGCACATCTGAGCAGCCCTCGGGAGCCGGCAACACTGGGAACCACTCAGGGTTATTGGATGTACAACAGGAAAGCCAACCCACGGCTAAATTATCACCTGTTACTGGACATCTCTTCCAAAAACCAAACTAGACCTGAGTCTGATAGATATGTGCTCCAAGGATGAAGAAGCTGCAAGTTGTTAACACTTAACACATAAGCATGTTAAACTTCTGCCAAAGTCAATACACCTGAACGCACACCGTATCTTCACAGATCACATTTTGTTTTGCAACCCGCTTTGAGGTTTTTGCCCTCTGTTTTATATGTACATATAAATAATACATACATATATATAAAGACTTATCTCCAAAAACACACACGCACAGAGATACCTGCGTATGTAAAATAGACACTGATTACAAATAAGACACAAAGATTGCCAAGAATTTAGAGATGTATTTGTCAAGATTCCTGTCGATCCACGCCCTTTGGGTTACAGTGTCGTCAGTGATGCAGCACTACCCTTTGGTGTGGGGACATTATGATGTGTGCAAGACTCAGATTTACACAGAAGAAGGGAAAGTATGGGATTACATGGCCTGTCAGCCGGAATCCACGGACATGACAAAGTATCTGAAAGTGAAACTCGATCCTCCGGATATTACCTGTGGAGATCCTCCTGAGTCCTTCTGTGCAATGGTGAGACGCAGCTTTTGAGTTAAACATTTCAGATAAATGCGGCTGAATCACATAGGCAAACAAAGGTGGTGTGAAGACTTTACCCCTGCTGAGCTGAGACTACAGGTGGAGATGCATGGTCACAGGCTAGCTTGGCTCGAGGTAGAATTGCAATGTGCACAGTATGAACGCTGCCTTAGAACTTCCTTCTTCCCCCCCCCCCATAGATTAGGGTGTCACTGGGGCAGGGCTAGTGTGTATGTATTACTAAATGAAAAGTCCAATGGAAGGTTCAAGTTCTAAGCAGTGGTTGGGGTATATGATTAAGTGAGATGTATTATAATTTTAAAACAAGAACCTATTGGCAAGGCAGCTTTAAAGTGTAAAGGTTTTTTTCTTCCACATGGATAAGGCCAGACCCAGACTGAATATTACAGGATGAGGTTGATCTCAACAGCTGTGAGCAAATCAGGCAGTTGTGGTGACTTGGAAGTCTCTGGTTGAAGGAAGAAGGATTAAAGGCTCTTGAGAAACTTCTCCAGGAAAATCTAGTTTGCCCAACTCATGCTGCCCCTTATTATTTAAAAAAAAATCACAGCTTTCTGTGGGTATTTTAATCAGATGGTAGGTTGAAAGTGTACGTATTGGGAATTAATGACCCAAGATAAACAAAAAATTCAGGTCTTTTCCTTTTAGTAAGCAGTGTTATAGCATTTGGTATTTTTGTGATGTACCTAAGTCTTTTCCTGGGTGAAAAATTATATACCGAGTGAAGAGGAAGCATTGGAGTAGCATGGTGAATTGCTTCTAAAGACATAGCTCAAAACAAGCTGATGGCCTATTGAGAAAGAGACTGGAGAGTAAAAAGGTGCTGGAGAGTCTGCTAAAGAGTCAGTGTGCTCATTTGGTTTATGTTATTGTTATTTTATTATTATTATTATTATTGGTGGTGGTGGTATTTATTTGGTATAAGCACTGCAATCCTATCCTTCTCCATAAAATAGATATAATCGTGTGGCAGGTTTTAATGGTATTCTTCTCTGACTTTATTGTCTTGAAACTGGCCTGGTATTTTCAAGATAGTGAAACTATTAATCAAAGTAGCATCTGCTCATATTCTCCAGTGAGTTAAATTAGCATAAGACCATCTTAGACGGAGCCCTATAGGAAAGGTTTTGTAAGGAGAAACGATTGTGGGCAACAATGAGTATTTTCACCTAAAAAGCTCAGGGCTTGCCATTTTTCAGAGGTGCCATTGGGGACTGGTTTGAATTATAGTCTACACTTGATTTTTGTGGAGAGGGAGATGAAGAAGTTGGCTATGAGGTGCCACTGTAAGAAAAGTGCTGTGAAAAACTAAATATTTCAAGGAGAGGAGCCTCTCTCTGAGAAACAGGTATGTACTTCACATTTTAGAAGCTACAGGCTTCCGGAAGGAACTTCTCAAACATGTGAAGAAAACTGTAATAAATCTATAAAGGAAGGATATTTGTTAGCTTTGTAATAAGTTCTCCTGAAAGGTCAGATTTAAGACCTCATTAAAAATCTGGGGTGAAAATTGCTCTTCGGGAGATAGGATATGCAGAGGCCAAGTTGTTGGCCAAATCTTCATGTTATTAAGGGCACTGGAGCTCTATAGATTGCTTTCCACGACATTTGGAACAGCAAGCTTCATTGGAATTGTTTAATAATTTACAGATCAAAGTAAAATAGCAAATCTCCATTTTTCTGAGTGGTATGGGTCCTAAGTGGTACGGCCTCAGAGTGATTTGTATGTGCGGTGTCCCTGGAACTCAGCCTCGGGCTGGAGAATAGGAGTTCTGCTCTCGTCCATCTTGTTAAAATGGTTCACTTGGCATGGCGCCTACAGAGTGTTTCTTTCTCCCATCCTAAGCAGCCCAGGGTCACGTTGCCAAATAGCTCAATGCCTGTCTTTCACAGAGATGTAATCTAAGATCCAACAAGCCATCTCTCACCAATCTATTGCCTAAGTGATGTAGTCAAATAAGAAACATAAAATTAACATGCTATTTTTTCAGCTTGGCTCCAGGGCCATAATATGTATACTTGATCACAGGACAGCCTTTCTTGAATTCATTAAAAAAATTTTCCTTTATTTTTAATTTTCCACCATTTTCTTTGTTTTCTTTTAAGTAGTTGTAGTTGTACAGAGGTGTTTCCACTGATCATGTCAGTTTATAAGGACCATCACTCTCCCTGTGTGTCTTTTAAAAAGCCTGCAACAGGCTATGATGCAGGAATTCGGAAGACTTTAGTGGCTTTAGATATGTCATCAGGCGAATATCAGGTTGTGAGATACTATGTATCAGTCTTTAATTTGGATTCCTTAAAATGTATATGATTGGCATGACAGATTAAATCACCTCTCTTTTAAATGTATACTTTGCAATTATTTGTAAGCATATTATGAGCCAAGTCAATGATAATGGCCTAATTTAGCAACACTTTCTCCCTGCAGTTTTGGATTTTCCATAAAACTCCTCAGCATAAGGGTTCCTGACACTAGGCTGTAAAACTGTCTTGGGATGCTAGCATATCAGGTGCTCCTTAGCCCAAGTTCTAATGGAGATCCATAAAGTCATTTTGCTATGACTTACACATCCGTTTCTGCTCCCTCGAAGTCATTATGGCCTATTACATCAGGGGAGCTGCCAATTAAGCACACTTGCTACATAGCCCCTATATGTAAATGCTTTCTGCATTGGGTCTCACTAGCTCAGCTAGCGAGACCCTGATTAACCATGACCATAGGGATTCTGACCACCTAGAAGATGTTGGATCATGGAAATATCCTGCAATTCCCAGAGCTGAATTATCTAATAGAAAGTTGAAGTGCAGTGGCATTGGGTTAACAAGCCAGGGATGTTGCCTTTATTTGAATATAGACTGAAAGGTGAGGAGAGGAAAAGGATCAAGTGACTCCATTGAATAATAGAACTCTGAATAACGTATTTAGTAGATATTTGATGTTAAGTAGTATACAATTGTTTTTATAGTAATCATACAAGCATTTATAAACATTAGTTTAGGGCTAATTTTGTCCTCTGTACTTAGAATAGCAGGGTAGGGACAATATAAAAACATGTCCATACATATCTGAACTGTCTACATTGGAAACTATATTTTTTTCTTAATTAAATGCAACCATTTGCATTGATAATGGCTAAAACAATTATTTTTTTTATTAAGGGGAAAGGACCTATAGAATGAGGTAGAACTAACCACTTGTGGTTTTTAGGCTGGAATAATGTATTTCTGTAGCTCCTATCCTTCAATCGCATGACAAGATTCAGATAGCACAGCATTATTGTCAGGAAGTACAGGTCATCAAGTGACAATGATTTGTTTCAATCTACATAAAGAGCAGACCAGATGATCTGAACCCTTGTGTAATGCTCAAGTGACAGCACAAAGCAATCACTTGTTCTTCGTGTTTAGACAAACTTAGTTGTCATTTCTCTGTGCAATATACCACAGTAGCTTCAACATGGCAAGATTAACTGCAGTTACCTCTAGCCTGAAGCTAATTTTTCAGGACACCTTGCACAGAAACTTCAAGAAAGATGCTTTAAGACAGAAGTCACGTGCATTTATACAATTTATGGAGCAGAAATGCTGGTGACTGGGGGAATGGAAGCCTTTGGTGTTGCCATGGATTTCAGAGCCAATCACAACTAAATCAGGAAACAAAGAATATTAAAAAGTCTTTTGTGCATACAATTTTGGCATAATGTTATGAGGCAGGCCTTCCAAATTTCCCTTGGAGACTTCCGGCCTCATTAATGCAGCATACCTTTAATTACAAGTAGACTCATATTACTAAAACAAAAAAAGTGGAGAAAATAAAAGTACTCTAAGGTGTACTTAGCCACACTCTCATTATATTTACTGAAATAATTAAAAGAAAGGGTATAATTTTTCTAAATAGAATGTCCAAATTTGAAATGCAAATGTATTTTCTTTGGGAAATTTACTCATGTGTGCTTAGATGCTTGATAGGCAGTTATTCAACTACCTTAGCAGATCTATTAATGATCATTTCCTATTGTGCTATTTCTACATAGACTCCTATTAAGAAAAATTATGGAATGAGTGCAAGCAATGTGGATAGAGCATATTCCATTCAGTTTGAATGGAATTATGAAAGTTGTAAAAAACCTTTGACTTTTATAATTTCAGAGGACTCTATGGGGCAGGAAGATAGGACTTCCAGTCTCAGGGCTATCTATGACTTCAGTTTCTTAGCTCACACCATCTCAGCTTGCCATTTGGTGGTTCTCAGATGCCCTCCAAGAAATTAATTTGATAAACTCAATTACATTTTCAATGACAAGGGATTAATATCAATTTCCCCAAACTGGAAATGACATTGACTTATAAAATAATTGGATAATCTTAAAAATACACTGTTCACCTGAAACATAATTCAGTAAATGAACGAAGTGTTAATAACAGTAGCATATTGCAATTGAACTGACTTATTCCTTAATTATGCAGAATGTTTTTTAAGCCTGTTCTTTTATGTTAACACTTCATGGTCATTAGTTCATTATTTAGACTTATTTTCTTAGAAAGAAGGTGAATTCACATTTGTCATGAATCGAGTTTCACAGAAATCAATCTTTCTGACTGATGGCATAATCAAGTAAATCCTTGTTGATGAGTTTACAGAGCTCTTTTGTATCTGTGACATCAGGTTGAAAGTGATCTGCTTGCTTTTGCAATCTGGGAGCATGCAGGCTTATTTCCTAGTGCTTCCGATTAGGACCTGCAGACATCTCCAGGAAACTTAGGAGAGCAATCTGATTAGAAGAAGCTGCTGGATTTGGATTAAAGTTGCATGGTTTTGTCAGACACTTGTGTCTCACACCTGTTTCCTAGCTATGTGGAAGGCTGAGATCTGAGGATCACAGGTCAATGTCAACCCAGGCAGGAAAGTCTGTGAGATCATAATCTCCATTTAACCAGGAAAAAGCTGGAAAAGGAGGCATGGCTCAAGT